TTGCGGCTTGTGTCCTGTTTCACACCCGCCTTGGGGGAAACAAAAAAACATCTATAGGACCACAGGCAATAAAGGACTTAGGGGTTGCAGAAATATGAAATCAAACAAATCCCAGGATATCAAACTTATTTGGTTCATATTCTATAGATAGGTACCTATTACGTACACAAAACCCTTAACCTCAACTGTTCGGTATGAAGGTCTTATTAGTAAACGTTTTAACCATACGTACTTCATTACTGTGGACATAAAGTATCTTTTCATTTCTCATTCTCGGAAAGTGGTGTTGTTTTGATCTGTTTGTTGGGTGGAAAATGCTGCTTCCCTCCCTAGAGATGGAAAAATCCATACAAATTACTTCCCACCTAAGGGCCGGAATGAACTTTAAAAATAGAACTACTGTCAGGTGTGAAGAATTTTATGTAAAAAAAAATATGATGCCATGTGAGTTTCTAAACAGCCAGTGTGAACTTAGCACAAACTTCTTTGAGCGGAATAAGCCGCAACAATTACATTGTTCCATATTTAAATTTAAAAAGTCGACATAAATTGGCGGGATACTAAACTGTTATGTATCTGTGACGGAATACAAAAAAATCTTATAAGTAAAACAGAGCAATCTAAATTTGAATATTAAAAATGAGTTTAAGCGATTCAGAAATGTTGACACCGGATTCAATTAAAGACGAAGCAAATTGTGTTATAGAGAATCTTTTGCCAGAAATGTCAAAAGAGGATATATGAATACATACAATGATTTTATAAAGTGGCGAGCAGAGAAGAATATAAAATCGTTTCCCGAAAGTGTATTTCTTTCATATTTTAATGGACTGTCTTCTTCACTTCTTCTTCAAACTTCCAGGGAGTATCCGCCATGGAATCCATCGTTTGATGAAATAACAGAGTCTCCTACTTTTACAGATATCCAAAACAGTCAAATTTGTAATAGTATATCAAACAGCATAAACATTCCAAATAAGAATGTAATTTTAATTTCATTAATTGTCCTAATATGACAATTAATTTAAATAGCTACTTCTAATTTTATTGTACCTATGTACCTATATATATACTTTTTTATGAATAAATATTTTTGATAAACAACTAGTTTTTTTTCCTCATATTCGAAATGAAAAGTACAGTGTTTAACTCGGGTAAAAGAATCAATTCCTACTCGGACTATAGCCTAAATACCTCGGGAATTAATTCTTTCCACCCTCGGTTAACAATCTACTATTATTGCTCGACTGTCTTGGAGGAAGGGTATCAATTTTCGAGTGGATGTTTGCACTCTGGTAGCCTCAAGAGCTGGAAGGATTTGATATTTGAGTACATTTTTATTGGGTAAAAAGACCGCGTATGTTACTAAATTTAATGCGATGAATGTATTTTTTTAAATAAAAATTAAGTCTTCCTACAGCAAAACTTTCTATCTACAGTATTTAAGGTACTTTCCCACCATGTGGAAAAGTTGTGAGATACCCTGTAAACTAAATTATTTTGTTGGGCAATAAATCATTGCAGTTGGAATGGCTTCAGTGGAATTCTTTTTAATCTATAAGAAATCCGAAAGCATTGAACATCTACGAATTAAAGTTATATTTAAATATATATTTTATGCATGTAACTGCTACATGTTTAAATCAGAACTCGAATTAATTTCTGATTTTTAATGCATTTTAAAATTTGAATTCATAATACGAAATTATAAGTTAGGAGAAAACAACACATTTAAAACAAATAGGTACCTTTTATATATCTACTTATAATGGTATCGCGGATAAGATAGATAAAATCAGAAATAATAATTTATAAAAAGGTATTTCTGCTTTGATTAATTAATTAAACAAAGACACCATTTTATATTAGTTTCTTATATTTTGTCCTTTTTCCTACATGTAGATATACTAATCAATTCAGGTATGAATTTATTATTTAGTGTTGGTGAATTAAAATAAAGTCGCGATTTTTAAATATTCTTTAGACATGGCATATCGTTTATTCATGAAAATAATTTCATGCGAAAAAATACTCATCAACGATACTTACAAGGTACGTATAAAATATTTAATAATCGTAACGATACAATATCGATATTCCTCAAGTTATAAGGAAAGCTAACTAGAATAAACATCAATATAATTTTAAACGATTAAAATTCCGAAGTACTTATTAATTTAAGTACTTAACATTATTATTTGTAAAAATATTATGACATTACTTTGAATATTATCGAGTATTAACATCGATTCGCTATTTCTAATTATCCAAATATTACTTATAATTTATTTCTAGGCCAAACTACAACACATACTTTTATTTATATTTTATAATCTATCAAAACAATCTTAGTTGAGTACTTAATATTTTATTGTAAAAAACTATTACGTAAAAGATAAGTTCGTAAATATAAATATTAATCTAATTTCTTACAAATATTTTGATATATTTACAAATGCACGGGTTACTTTAACCCTACCTATTGAGTCATTTTTGCATTACATATAGCATATTATCTAAAACTTAAATCTAAATTAAGATTAATCTTCCTTTTCTAACATTTTTTGCGTAGTATTCAATTGCATAGTAAGTATTAAAAACATAGTAAAAAAGATACATATTGTACAATAGTACTTATAAGTTGGACGGAAAATTATCACGTCTTTGTATCTTGAAAGATACAAAAAAAAAATCACAACCAAATGAGTGAATTTATTTACTCTTAGCAATACCAGTTTGCTTGATTTTAAGAAAATAGTTTAAAAATATAATAAATAAAAAGACAAAGGGACATTTACTCCACTGGAAATATCTTATAAATTGGAAACATTGTCAAAATATGCATTGCCGTATCACAGCAAATTATTAAATATCATATTAACAATGTACCTATCTATTCTAAATTTAATAAAAAAAATACATACAACAAAATTAATCTAATAGAGATTCTATCGCGTGGAGTTATCAATTTATCCATAGGAGAATAAATTAAAATTTATCATAATGTTTGCATTACATTACCTACTGAATTGTGTAAAAATAATACGAGTTAAAACATAAAGTAGTAAAACACTTAAAGATGACAAAATAATTAGAATTTCCTATACAAAAATTACCAAAAGTTTTTTTACAATAACATGCGAAAATGTACAGCTTGGTTGATTTATTGCTTATAAGTAAAACGCTTCGTTATCTATCGTAACTAGAAATATGTTTGCTCAACAGGTTCATACCTTTTTGGGAAACAAAAACATTTACCATACATCTATGAAAATTATGTTGACAAGTAACTTTTATAAAAAAAAACTTTTGTATATATATAATTCAAAAGCTGATGCATCTTTCTTTTGCGTAGAGTTTTTGTGTCAAACTAGGCAACGATTGACTCGTGACTCACGACGGTCAACATATTCGACAACGGTGTCTATTCTGGAGTGATTCTCTAAACTTAAAACTAAATTTAACATCAGTCTCTCCTTTTTATTCTGTATAGAGAATGACAAGGATACACTGTTGTTTATACATTCTAAATTTAAGTTTAGAATTAGAGAATCGTGCCAGAATCGACACCAACGTCGCCGTGACGTCGCACTAAAGTGCGCAACGTTATCAGACGAAGCACAACATGTCCATATTTCAATAGTAAAAGCATCGCACTGTTGTGCAACGTTGCCGAACATGTGTTGCACGCCAATTGTTGCCTAGTGGATACAAAGCTTTAAAGTCATTATAGTACTTAAGTCGATAAGCTTATACATTTTACCTTAAACAATTTGTAAAATAACACTTATTCTAAGTAGGTACAAAACTCACGCATTGAGTATTATTAACAATTTCACAATTAAATAATTTATTTTTGTATTTTTTATAAGAAGAAAGAAGCTGTTAATTTAAATTTATTAAAAAGCAAATTTAGCGATTTTACTCAGTAAATTGTTCGTCCTAACTAAATAGGAATATATAAATTATTTTAAAATAAAACAGAATATAGAAACAATTTATGGCGTCGCGTCGTCAAATGACGGATGGAATTATCAGATTTAGAAAATCATTCAATATTGTGATTACGATATATTATTTCAGAATAACTTGTGAGTTATTTGAATAAATAATGTTGAGAAGTGGATATCTCGGTTATTAGAGTTACACTCTGCGAAGCTACAAACATTCATAATACCGATTCTATTTTTTTTGATGTTGAATTTTTTGACCAGTGTTAGAACTACAAGAACATATTGGAATCTTCTAATGTGTTTGCCGGTTTCCAGTCTGATAGGGCTATTATTTGCTGGATTCAATGAACTAACGCAGCAAAACTCGCCGGGTTGTAAGAACTATGGCTTGAAATTTTTATCGCCATTGTAGAATCGTGTAGATTTTTTCTTAGGTACATAAATCTGTAAACTCTTGAGTTTTACTTTATCTTAAAGAATTCACGGTAGTCGAAGTCGATTTACGTAAAAATGTCGCCATGGTCTTTGCAGTCGATGCTGCCGTTTAGAATAGATTGCAGTCTTAAAAAATCATCGCTAACCGAGAATAAGAATATGTTCTCAAGCTTAAATAATGTACAATTTTTAAACTAAAACATTGGTGATGTATTCTACGCGTAGCATTTGGCTCCGTTGGCGTGGTCTGTTGCAGTCGGTGGTTCCTTCGCAGAGCTGCGCTTGCGTGATACATCGGCCTTCCATGCAGCGTATACTTTATCGGATCTTCAAATAATTGCAATCGCCAATCGAGTATTAGAATGTTTTCTCAAGCTTAAATAGTATTCGATTTTTTACTTCACCATTGATGGTTTATTTTACGCATAGCAGTTGTCTTCGTCAGCATGGTCTGTATAGTCTGTGGTTCCGTCGCAGAGCTGCGCTTGCGTGATACATCGGCCTTCCATGCAGCGTATAGTTTACCGGGTCTTAAAACTATTACCATCGTCAAACGAAGATTGGCATGTTAATAATGTTCGATTTTTAAAACTAAACAATTGGTGGTTTATTCTACGCGTAGCAGTTGTCTTCGTCGGCGTGATCAGTGCAGTCGATGGTTCCGTCGCAGAGTTGTGCAAGGGTGATACAACGGCCGTCAACACACCGTAATTCACCACTGGGGCACGGTGATGCGTGCGCACTCACAGATCCCGGTGAGAAAACTGGTGCAGAAAATTCCTCCTTCTCCACTGTAGTATTATTCGATTCCGGGGAATCCTGAATTTCTTGTTGGGCCACAGCTTTCTGCAAATCGGAATATTGTAAACATAAATATAACAGTATGCCGTATTGTCCATTACCAATACGGAGTGGAAAAGTATCAAATAAAAAAGTATGAGTACACTCAACTAGAGTGTAAATTGTTCAGTTAGAAGCAATAGTAAGAGTTCAGTACTTAAAATAAAGCGAAAATACCTACCCTCAACAGGGATGCTCCGTCAATAACTTTTTCCAGTTTGTTAATAGTGGAATCCAGATGCGTTAGGTCTGGATCCGGTACTGTTGGTACTCCAGCAAAAGTATTTGGTTGCTGTGGTGAACTATCAGGTTTCTCAGTGTTTGCGACTTCCTTCTCTGCGTCCTCAAAGAACCCAAGATCACCAATGTTCACATCTTCTACGGACTCTGGTTTTGGTGTAAGGTTAGTCGGTTTCTTTCTCTCGACATGCAGGATTACTGTAGAGTTTTCTTCGTTTTCTTCCTTAGGGGGTTCTTGTGGTTTAACTTTTGGTTCTTTTAGAGCAGGTCGAGTGTAAGGTGTTAGCCGGGACAAAGATGGACGACGTGTGAAATTTCTTCTTAGAGCGTTGCTACTATCACTTGTGACGAGGAGCTCCTTGCTGCTGTCATTATCTCCTGAAAACAACAGCATTGAAATGTTATTAAACAACTTCACAATACAAAAAGGTAATCACGCGTACTCCATTTCTAATAAATATTAAATTTTGTGTTGTGACAGATGGAGCAGTTAGAAATAAACTGAAGCAGGTTACGTTATATTTACACTACTTCCAATTCTTCAAACGTTTTCAGGTCAGCTCAGCAATCATAAATTATCTGCTAGAGTACCCATGAATTTGTAGTACCTTAACAAGGACCCTGTTCAAGACAACGCAAATTCTAGGAAGGTATTTCCTAAAACAAAACACAAAGCCTAACCCGTCTTTTTGATTCCTGACTCTTCAACTTCTAAACGGTTGCAGTTGGTTGGGTTTCCTGACAGTGGGCCGCGGGTGCGGAGCCGGCGGACTCCACATATTACCTATCTAATGATTCCTAAATCATTCACGTCTAGGTGGTTGCGGTTGGCTGGGTTTCCTCGGAGCGGACAAGAATTTTTGATTTCTCAATCATACACTTCTAGATAGTTGTGACTGGTTAGGCTTCCCCACAACGGGCGCAGAGCCGGCAGGCCTCATTGCCGGTTCAATGACTCTTACTTATCTTTTGATTGCTAAAGCTTTCACTTCTAAATAGTTGCGGCTGCTTGGATTTCTGTAGGGTATGACTCTTACCTGTCTTTTGATTTCTGAATCTTCTACTTCTGGACAGTTGCACCTAGTAAGTTTCCTAGTGTGAGTCTCTTAGCTATTTTCTGATCCTTAAATTTTCCACTCCTAGTAGGCTGCTGGTTGAATTTCTGTGGGGTGCGACTCTTACCTACTTTCTAATTCTTGAATATTCCACTTCTAGATGGTGGTGTTTCCTAACAGAAGGCGCGCTCGCGACTCTTTGACTCTTACCTGTCTTTTGATTCCTGAATCTTCCACTTCTAGACGTTTACGGTTGATTCGGTTTGACTCTTACCTATCTTTTGATTCCTGAATCTTCCGCTTCTAGACGGTTGCGGCTGGTTAGGTTTCCTCACAGCGGGCGCGGGTGCAGAGCCGGCGGACTCTTCACCGGGCTCCGCGGGGTGCGACTCGGCGCGGGCGCCACCGTGCGCCTCGCACACTGTAGGTAACTCGTCCTCGCCGTTCGGGCAGTCTGAATAACCGTCGCACATCCATCGGCTTTGGATGCATCCTCCGGATTCGCATCTGTATAGTTTTAGTAGTTAAAAATGAAGCCATGGCCAGCGAGTTTGTAAATTATTTATAATACTAAGGAAACAATGTTTATTGTTTTACTTTTAATAAAAGAACAGGTTTTCCCCTAAAAACAACAAAGGTTATCTTTCTAGGGATATTTTAAGAGAATCAATTTGTACCTGTATATTTTTTTATTGTTAAAGATCATATTTCACTCTCGATCTTATGAGAAGCCTGTCATCAAGCCCAAAGAGTTTCTTGAATAGCGCCCTAATCACTATTTCGACCTTTTTTATTGGGAACTACATAGATAAATCCCAAAATTACATACCGGTACTCATTCGGTTCGCAAATAACACATTTAGCCTCGTCTTCCCCATTAGCGCAGTCCTGAGCACCGTCGCAGATCCAGTCTCTAGGCACACAAGAGCCATCTCCACATTGGAACTCGCGCTGATAGCACGGACTCTTAGCTGCCACGCAGTTCGATGAAGAGTATTGGTTGCAGTTGAACGCAGCAGACAGTTCACGCGGAATTAGCCCCTCACAGCTATCAGTTATTGCTGTTAAAAAAGGGCAGGTGCTAAGAAATAACATTTTCATATGAGTTCTCTGGGGATTTGTCTACCATAATGAGGTTAATAGGTTCAAAGATAATTTATTACCCATAAAGACATACAGTCCAATAACCTTTCTTTATAAGCACTTGATAACGATGAATATTAAATAACAAAAACAGAGACACCCATTTCAAAGTTACGTTATTGGATATGATCATAGATAGGAATACTCATAAAAACACATTTTGTTTTTAAATCTCATCAGGCGTTACCTTGCGAAAGTCCATTCCATCAGGTATAGGACTTTTTATTTCCGATTACTTAAGGCAGAATTTTCTTGAAAAATACTTTCACACTACTCACTCTTTACTTAATGATCAGGTGAAGACCTCGCAATTACTATTAACTACACAGTGGAGGAGCTCGATGGCGCAAGTGGTTCGCGCGTTCCGCTGCGATCGTTGAATTTAAGCAACTTTCGCAGTGGTCGGTCATTGGATGGGTGACCGAAAAATTTATATATCTCGAGCTCCTCCGTGCTTCGGAAGGCACGTTAAGCCGTTGGTCCCTGTTGCATCTGCTGTCGTTAGCACCCACCAACCCGCACTGGGCCCGCGTGGTGAGTCATGGCCCAATCTCCCTATTCCATCCATAGGGAAGGCCTGTGCCCCAGCAGTGGGGACATCAATAGGCTGATGATGATGATGATGATGACGCCACAGTGAAACCCTCAATTTTTTTACTAACTAGGTCGTAGGCTAAACGGTTTTATAAATTTTATAGCTACGGATGTGCGCAAAATAACTAGAACTCACTTTTACAAAGGTTGTAGCACGGCATTTTGGGAGGGTACGGAGGCGGATTGCATTCGGGCTCCAGTAGTGCGCACATGAACTGGCGAACACGCTCGCTGCAGTTGGTGGCGACCAAGTATTCCACTTGTGGCAGCAGCTGCAGCAGTTCCACGCCGTTGACAATCGCAGAGGGCCCAGCCAGGTCGTAAGGCAGCACGCCGCGACAGAAAGCCAGCCTCGTCGACCCACATTGAGGTACTGAAATGGAATTGATATGAAATAAGTTAACTTTGACAAATACTGGAGTAAAATGAAGCTGCTGATAACGTAATGGTCGTAAGAGTATGAAGAGGCGGTTGCATATCCGGATTTAGTTGTACCGGACAAAGATTAAGTAATAAAACTCCCAGGAGATTTAGAATTATACTAACAAATCTTTACCTAACTTATACAGCACGTCATCTTTGAGGCTCTGTCATCTTTCTATACGTTTGTGTACCTATCTAATAAAGTAAAATACAATGTGTTCATGTTGTATGGATCAGTACAAGTGTGGAAGACAATTATAAAACAATTCGAAAGTTTTAAAGTTGAATGCATGAATTCTATAATGAATATGAAAAACCGTCACATGATAAAATACAAAATGATGTTAGTGATGTCAATAAAGATATAAATAATGTTATTGACAATTCCCAGTTAGATAATAAAGGCCCTGACCTGACGCACTAAAGAAATATTTACCATATATATATTATAGATATAAATAGTTACGGTTACTGACCTTATTAAAAGGACCACATGCGCCCTTGATAGTTTTCAATTTTCAAAACTTACCGTCGTAATTAATATTGACTGGGTACTTTTTCGTAGTAGAGTCATCGCCATCTCGCCACGTCGGAAGTGTGGGCGACACCCTAGTGTTATATGTTGAGGTTTGAGTAGTCGACTTCATCTTCTCTGCATCTTCAATGGATATACCAAAAAGTTTAGAATGACCTGAAGTGAAACTGATGTCCACATTAGCAGGCCGTCTTGGTGGATAAAACTCTTGGTTCTTTGATGGAACTTCTGGATCATGTTGATAAACTTGTGGTGTTGTCTTTCTACTGATATCCGAAAAGACATAATATTGCCTGTACGCTGGCGGTTGCGGTTTGAAGGCGGGACTTCCTGTTCTCTTCGTAGTGAACTTTTCCCCGTAATTTGTCAAGTCATTAAGCGTTTCCGCTTTAACTATGGTCTCTGTACTTGTGGTTGTAGTAACACCGTTGCCATCTTTAAAGAAAATTTGCAATGGTTTCTCCGGTTTCTGGGTTATGTGTGGCTTCAACGTAGAGTCATCTGGTACATCATTAGATTCTTCAATCATTTTGGCGTTTCTTAATTTATCAGAATCAGCTTTTTCATTTCCGTATTGTACTTCTGGTGTGAGATGATCAGGGAATACTGGTTGGGCAGGTAACTTATTTGTTGCACTAGATTGAGTAGCTGATATCACGTTTGATTGTGTTTCATGTGTTCTTTCAGTGTCAGCATCGTAGAAATCAATTTCGGTCGTTTTCGTACCTGCAATTATTACTTATAAAGAACCAAGATTGAACAAGAAATAAGCAATAAAAAATAAACCCATATAGGCATCCAGAAAGTTTTATATGAGAGCACAATTTTTTTTTCATGATACGATCCAACTACTGCCACATTTTACATAGTGCTTTTTAAATAAAGTTTAAGTGATCCACAAATAAGTCCCAATAGATACAAGGCAAGATCACACAAGCACATTCAGAAATATAGTGATTATATTGTTACCAACAACACAATACATTTAACAATACTTGTATTGTTTAATGAAACAACAAGGAATAGAAATATGTGTTCAGTATTGAATACGCTGTATTCCTTATATACCAAATGATGTATAAACTTACGTAGCTTTGTAAAAAGAGCGTGATTAGATATTTAATCTTATTTTTTTTGTACTTTGTTCATTGTGGTCGTGGTCGTAGTAAACCAAATAAATAATACTTCAATTTTTTATAATGAGACTTTAACTATCAATCTGCTCAAATCGGAAGGCTTTAAGTTGTTTTTTTTTACTTATAGTAAGTTTCTTAATCCTTTTTTTGTGTGTAGGTACCCACTAATACATATTTGTAAATTAAAATACTTAGAGAAAAAAATAATGAAAACACATGATCAATTATGCTACCGTGGCCCTAATCGCCGAGTCAAATTACTTCTATATTTCTTAGGCTGCAAGCTCGGGTTCGAATCCCGTACTCCCTGATCCGCGTGTATTTTTTTCTAGTAAAATATCTAGCAGATTATGCTTAAAAAATACGCATGATCTAACTAACATGCCGTGGCGCGGCATAAAAATTCATATATTCTTTAACTAGACTTGTATCCTAGCAGGATTCAGTGACGTTTTGTTTCTTTTTGTGAAAACCCTTGGCCATGCTAGCGAAAGGATATCATTATCAAGCACCCATAATAACACAAAGGTTAAAGTCATTGTAGGTGAAACTATCTCTGTTTTTAGCCAACATTTTAGATCCAACTAATGCAAAAATATATTCATTGTGATCCGGCCTTTATTTTTTTTATTCATTCCTTTTTTATTTGCCTATCAGATTTTTACTATGCATAAATCTGTTCAGCATAATAATATTGTTGTTTCATAATTAAATGTATAATCATACTTTGTGGTTGCGTGAAATTCTTCAGTTTAGGCTTTTCTTCTGATCTGCCCACTCCTTTGTAGGTTTGTGCTCCCGCGCTGGCAGCCACTGGGTCCCAATATGTGCCGTTTGCTGAATCCATGCCTGTGTTTATGTTATCTGGAACATCAAAATAAGATGTAATTAGAATATATCGTTATTTTTACTAATAAACAAATAAAGAGAGATGTTGTGATGAGAGAAGAAGGGGTCTTTCTCGTTCACATATTAGTTGATACGGTCATGGCAGACCTAAGTGACACCTCTGAAGTCACACCCATACTTAGGCTATAATAGACGCTTTCTATCAGATGGGCGATATGCTTGCTAGGGTACATTCTATAAAATGATTATACTCCTCCTGTATTCTTAGCATGAAGAAGATGGAAGATTTTTAATTCTCGTTACGTCCGTTGTGGCGCTTAAAACTTATTTACATTTGATGCGTATCGGGATCGAATTCAACTATTCGAATTCAAAATTAGTTCTTGCTTAGGGTTTAAGTTAAGAGTAAGTTGAGTCAAGTAGTTAAGATAATGAAAGCTGATGCGGCAGAACAATAAGCCACTCTAGCCGTCCTCACCTTGCCAGCCTGAACTCAATCCCTTACCCTGTGGAGCCTAGGAAAATTAAAAAAAAGCTATAGCCAAACGATATAAACAGTAATTCCTATAATCCGTATATTTTCTCTACACGTTTATCCGACTTGGTAAGAAATATTATTAGGGGGGCAGATACGTCATATGATAGAACAGTGATGTAACGGCAGGGAGCATCTATTCTTCGTGGTCCGTATAACACAGAGCGTGTCAACTGGTGAAAGCCGAGTTCAAGATGTCACGAATTTACCTCGGAATCTGTGCTAGCCTGGTCTCCATTAATCCTGACCGCAGTTGTGCAACATTATTTTGAAGCATAGTTAAACTTCCGATATAAATCTTAGTCATGATCCTTGCACCTCATTAAATATGATTTGAAACCCGTTTAAAAGCGACTTTGTTTGATTTTATTATCTTGTTAGAGATTTTTGTATTTGGTACCAATACGATAAGTCTTCAAGTAATATATGTTATTAACGGGATTGTTATCATGTACCTTGTTTTTAGCGAGTTTCCGATATTTCGGCACTGTTGCAGGCGCCATGATCATGGAGTAACAGTTAGTAGTCAGTTACTCCGTGATCATGGCGCTTGCAACAGTGCCGAAATATCGGAAACTCCCTAAAAACAAGGTACATGATAACAATCCCGTTAATAACATATATTACTATAATGTTAGTGACCATGAAAGTTTAAAACAATATAAAGTCTTCAAGTGTTTTAGAATCCTATTTAAATAATAGACAATCAATGAGAAGTGTGACCATATAACCAATAAATGGTTACGTAGCCTCATAGTAATTATTTTATAATTATAACGTAGAAGATTAACAAATATGCGTCAAGTGGCCATCCTTGTGCTGTTTAAAATACTAACCACAATGTAGTTAACAAGATCAAGTTGTTGTTGAATTACAATGACCTTGTAAAGTCAAATACTTTTATAAGAAGATCCGGATTGAATGCAAACCAAAAATATAAAATATCTTTCCTATAGGTCGAAAATTAAGCATAGCATTAGATGTTGGTTAAGTTGAATAAAATGTTTGTTTTAATTAAAAGCTGTATTTTCTCATTTTTAGGTATACGCTATGATTGATTCTTGTTCGAGTTCGTGCTATACTAACATCTTATGACATATAAATAGTACCTATGTTATTAACGTTTTGCACATACTCGAGATCAAGAAAGTGCTCATTAAAGTACCTTAAATTGAAAAGCATGCTGAATAATTTCTTAGAAATGTGAATCATTTCATGATTAAAGACCAGGATGCAATCCTTAGGAGTGCTTTTGTAAATTGGTCTCACAGTTCTAATTAAATATTATTGCTTTTATATAACATAGTCTAGTACTCGTCCGACCTGTACAAGATATAGGGTAGTCGACATGACTTGTGGAGGCTATTAAACACTCAAGCCATTAGGTAATTTAGTGGCTAACAACTTAGCACTCCGCTCAAGTATTTCTCAGCCGTTGGCGAAATACTTAGCCACACAGTATACCTGCTCCTGTGCAAACGGCATCAACAGTAGCACAAGCAATTTGGTGGCTCACTAAGGCTTCGTTCAAATCGCGAGGAATGTCAAGTTGCAGGCCCTCAAGCTACAGCTCAATCATCCTCTACGTAGACGATCGTACAATATTTGCTTGTACGTACACAAATAGTCCTATTATACAACATCGGTCACGACTTCCGACGCGGGAGCCATTGTTACCCAATTATAAATACAACACAGAATGTTATTTTTGAACAGGGTTTGCCTTCGCATTTCAAAATGTATCGAATAATGATTGGGATTTAATCTCTAATTAACACCAAGTAGAATGTACCTTTAACGCACGATGTAGAGTCTACATCGTATCGTGATATGTCTATATTGTATACACATCACCTCTAATAAAACAGAGGTAACTAGGAAAGGTCGATTTTATAGGGAAGTAATTTACGTTTTAAACATGCAATTAACATAATTGAATGCGGTGTTATTAAACGATAACGTTAAATCTTTTACAAGGGCAGTGTTAATTAAGAATATTAAGTTAGAAAGTACAGTTGTTCCGACTCAAGCAATGTGTCAACTGATGTTCACGAAACAACAACGCCGAGCGGACGCCCGCTCTGTGCTCCCGCTTAACTCAGCGCAGGCTCTTAGGACGCTTGTTAACCAGACGATTTCTACCTCGGTCTAGGTACGGTTTTACACTAGGTCTACATCCGATCATCAGTTAGGAATGGGACAATTTCCATAGTGTCCACTATTAAATGTCCACATTTGTTAACGACACCGGCGCTGGCGACGGTTAGGGCTCGGTACAAAGGTATGTACAAACAGTGCTCGTGAATAAGATTAGCCAGTACCGGCCCGGGTAGAAATCATTTCTTTACAAGTCACCTATAACTGCTAAGTAATATATGCAATAGTAAAGGAATGCAAAGGTAATGTCCATATTATTGAGTGGTTTTCTTCTCAAATTGAAGCAACCTTCTATGGAAGTTCTATAAGTTGGGACCTTACAGATACCACAGAGAAATACGACTACCCTTTGGTGTTATTTTGTTTCTGTCAGTGATTAAGTATTCTGGTTTACCTTGTAACCGTCTATCATTATTAGTCATATTTTAGTGACATTCACAATTTCATGTTATAATAATTAACTAGAAGATAAAATAGGGTTCATCTATTTATAATTTTACCTACAAAATTAAATTTGTGTAAGATTGAGGTAACTGGTGCACGCATATCCGGCCGGATTGTGAATCAGGTTCTGCCCACGCATTTGTCGAGTTTATTTTTGTTCATACATTGAGATCCATAAAATGTGATCCAAAATTACCTTCATACCATCTCCGATGAGCATTGAGATTCTTAATTGTGATGTCATATAAGCCAAGGTGACGTGAAACATGTGAAAGTGGAGCTTTCCTTGTAGTCATTTGTTTTTTTACGTACTGTAGTAAGTACTGTAAAATAGGGTAAATATAAAAAAAACAGAATAGGTTTGACAGCCGTCACACAGTGAGAATTAAAAGTATTAATATAAATATTTTAATAGATTTTTTTTTATTTAGCAATACCAATATTTTTATTTTTACCTTAGACAAATGATTTTAATGTCATTTTGAATGATAGCGGTAAAGTTGAGGTTTGGAAAGAGACAAGTTTAGGCTCTTCAAAACTTTAAAATTTTAATGGATAATACTGTGTTTTTGTAGGTTCCGTTACTCTATGCTGAACGTCAGTACAACATTCTTACTAGTTTACATTAAATTATTGTGTTTTATGTTATTTATATAAATAAAATCATAGAAATTCCCTTGCAAGTATATTGGGCTACAAAAAGGGGTCAATAGAAATCATAGAGGGGTCAATAGAAGTTACAAGAAATTACATGCACTTGGTTAAGAATTTGTACAGAAACGAAAACGAAACGAGCTAGCACCGACCCGGTGAGGAATGCGCATTATATACGGCTTATACACCTAAGCAAAAGCAGAAGGCTTTTATTCTGCAATTATATCTCTTTGTCGGGTTGATTACTGCATCATTATTTTATATAAAATTTTGACACCTAATTAGAATCACTCGCTTGTATTATCTTAAATGGAAATAAACAGTTAATCATCTTTAATGACGACCATTAACGCAAACAATAACTTGTTTTGTTTGTATTTAAACGTTTTGACTAAGAGTCACCTTCACCTCGTTTCATCGCAAAAGAACTAAAAGGGATTTCTGTTTACATTATCCTCTGATGTTGCCATTAATATAACACCGAAAGTATGTTAATGCTTACAATTTCGAAAAATCGCGTCTTTTTTTATTAATACAATGATTCCGTGCGAATGAGCCGTTATTAAAGTGTTTTGTCGATCAAGTGAAAGTGCCTGAATATTTATGAAGAGCAGGAATCGAGAAAAGTTCGCGTTTTTATCAAAGTAAGAAGTACAAGTTCATATATGTAAAGGATTGTAATTGCTTTGAAAGTTATTTTATGATGTTCCCACTTCCGTCTCGCATGTATTAACATGACTTGTAAGTGAATTTTAACCTTTTTCAGCTTTCGATATGTAAATTTTGCTTTCATTAATTAATACTTTGGTTAATGAATTACATATAAACATCAGTCGCGAATGTATGAATATAAAGCTATAACTGACTTTATGACTAGGTAAGTACATAAAGTTTATTTTTCTTTTTAAAACAATTTCTACTTTTATACATATAATGTAATTTGTGTAAGCTTAACAAAAATGTTGTTTTGAATCGTTTAGTATTTGTTATAAGACAGTCATACACTTTCGTGATAAAAAGTACAAAAAGACAATTTTTGTCATGGTTTGCAAGTCTGTCCCGAACACAGCAAAATAAAAGCAAGAATGCCATAAAATTAAATATCTTAATTAGGTCTTTTAGCAAAATACAAATATTTTTAACAAGCAAACGTTTCGAAACTCTTTAAAGTAAGCTCGTTCTGTCTGTACACTAATTAAGTCTCTATATGTTTATACCTTCTTTC